TTCGCCAAGACCAGGCACCCCAGCATGGCCCTGCTGAGAGAGCCAAATCATGAAGGCCACATGAGCTACTGTAGGTTTTAACAAGGCCTCTTCAAAGCTGCCTTCACTCTGTGCAGCACCACCGGTGGTAGATGCACCATTCTGCAAACAGGAAGACAGTCTTTGTTCGAGAGGGCTACATGACATGGGATTGTTGGCCAAGGTTTTGGTGTGTTCAAACAACAATCTGACAACGTGAGCAACAATGCCTTCTGCTCAGCTTCCGGTTCACCAAGACCACGCGCCCCAGCATGGCCCTGCTGAGAGAATCAAATCATTCTAGTCACATCAGCTCAGCGTACGCCTGACCTAAATTCCAGGCCTCTTCAATGCTCCCTTCATCCTGAACAGCACCGTTGGTACATGCACCATCCTGCAATGGGGAGCAAAGTCAACATTCATCAGTCACACATACAGCCCATGAGATAGGACTTTGTTGTATTCTTTGAATTCACCATCTGTCGAGTTGCATGCCCCATCCCACAGGACTAGTTCCACAGGCTGCGGGGTGACAGCTATATATATATATATTTTTTTTTAGATATATGTATTTACACAAAAATGCCGCTGTCTGCTTGTATGAAAAGATGTGGCAGCCTTCTGATCAGCTGCTGCTTCAGCAGAGCCAGGCGCCATGAGGTCGTCCTCCAACCTCACAAATCAGGAGCATGTTCAGTGACCTAAGCCTTTCTGGTTTCATATGTGAACACATTCCCAAAACACTAATTCAACACTTCGATACGTTCTGCACCACAACTCCTAGGTCATCACTGGTTGCATTTGTAGCTGCAACAAGCTTGGTAGACCTGTGGGATTATATGTTTTACCATGTTATATATACATCAAGGGAGCACAAGGCCACTCCAATCCTTCCCACCATGAAAGGATTCAGGCCCAAGCCTCTTTGGAACAGGGCGGTTGTGCAGCAGATTGAGCCAAATGGCTTCAAGTTTCACATGACACAGGGGTGTTAAACACAGGTTTCCAGCACAGGTCCTTAGTCATTGTCCGGAATCCTTGTTTTTCATCGTTTTTAGGTTTTTTTCAAACCTGCTCTAGAAGTCCTGTTTTGCAATATTGTGCCTGATGACTTAGGCCAAACGTGCTTTATACCAGATTTCCTTTGCCTGATGACTTGGAACCCTCTAATTTTGACGTACCTCCGT